GAGATCCGGGGCTCACTGGGAAGGTATCCACAGATCAGAGATGCTGCTGGGCCTGGAGCTCAGAAGGAAGGTCCCAGGCATCTTTGAAGAGGACAGCTCTCCAGTCTGTAGATGGGGACGGTCTCACCTGCCTCCCAGGAGAGGGTGTGGTAGGCCAGGGGGAGCCAGTGCCCAGGACAGCACACTGAACATCACCTAAAAACATGAATAGCTGGCAGTCCGACAAACCCTCGGACACATGTTGACCTGGGCCACACCTTTTGGGTGGGAACAGGACACACATGTGCTGTCCTCTCACTGTCCTTCCGTCATCAGGGAGATTACCCCATCCCTCGGTGGACCCCGTTCTCCCTCCCGGCGCTGGAATAGCCCAGCCCTGGCATCTCCAGGTTGAGAACCAGACGGCCCCGCTCCAGTTCTCTCTGGCACAACTTGCCTGCCCTCTAGTGGATCTCGGAAGAGTCTCAGACTCAAGGAAACCCTTTGGAGAGAGACCAAGCCACTCAGTCCAACCCTGTCCCCCTCTGAGTTGAAGACTGGAGTCCTGAGCAGGAGAGACTCCTGAAGGAGGTCAGGAAGATGGGTGGGGCAGGCCCTCAGGAGGGTAAGGGACCTCGGCCTTGAGAAGGAGCAGGGGCTTGGGCGCCCAGCCCCAGGGGAGCCCAGCAACACATCAGTCACTGCACCCTCCCCTGGAGGCCTTGGTCCTCACCCTCAGCGGGGAGGCAGGCACCATCCCCCAGGGCTGCGAGGGTGGCTCCCAGTGACAGCACAGGACGGGTGCTGGCCTGTGGCCCTGCCCTGCCCTGACCATTCACCTCCTCCTCTCGAGTGTTGGCTTTCTGATCCCCTTTTGAGCAAATCCAGACTTTCATTCATATGGATTCCTTAAATTGAGATTCACCTGCCACCATCTCCTCAGCTCCATCGTATTTCTTCTTCTCTGTGACTTTTCTGGCCAGACACTGGGGTCAGAGAAAGAGGACCCAGCCTTGCCTGTAGGAAGGTCCTACAGCAAAGTCCAACCCAGGACCGTACCAGAGTGTGATCAGTACCAGAAAGAGTGGCTGAGGCTCCAGGGCCAGAGGAGGTGCCCCTCTGACAGCACATGTGGGTGGGAGGGAGGGCATCAGGGAAGGCTTCCTGGAGGAAGAGTCAGAGGAGAGGAAACATGGGGCAGGAGGGCCAGAAAGTAGGAAGCATGGGTCTGGGAAAGAGCAGGGGCTGAGGGTGAGGTGGCCTTTGAGGAATGAGGGGTAGGGGAGAAGCACCAAGAAGGGCCATGGGCGGTCAYGCTGTCGGCACCTGGCATGCCAGGTCCCAACTAAGCATTAGACCAAGAAGGTCAGAGGCAGGGTTCATCAGAGAAGAAAAACCAGGCAGATGGCCTTGGGGGCTGTCACTGCGGGACGGAGATTGTTCCCAGAAGCCTTTGGATGAATTGATCCGTTTATTCTTCCCTTCAATTTCTCCTCCTCGGCCTGCCTCCTCCCGCACCATGGGCCAAAGGAACGGACTGGATGAGTTTTCTGCTGTCAAGTGCGGGTCAGGCCTGGTGACAGCTCAACCATTCAGGGGACAGTTGGAAAGGACCTCAGGAGGAGGTGTTTCCTTAGGTGGACCTTGGAGGGCGTGACACTTGCTGGCTGTTGAAGGGGGACACAGTGCTCTAGGTGGAGAACAGCAAGACGAGGATCTGGGGAAGAGTAAGGAGCCAGCCATGGCCAGAGAGTTGGGGACAGGGGGCAGTCAGGGGGCCAGCATCGCAGGCCTTGAATATGGCTAATGTGTTGGGGCTTTTCCAAGGAGTCCATCCCAAACTGGGCCCACACGAAGAACCAGGAACCAAGGGATTCTGGGTTGCCTAGCCCCGTGAGGACCCTCTGGAAGCCTGTGGCCCCATCTTTCATAGTGAGGCCCCTTTCCTAGAGATTCCAATAGTGTCCCATTGTTAGGAACCCACCCCAAGAGACAGAAAGGTGGCTCTAGGCTGATGGGACACCTCCTGGCACCAGTTGCCCCAGCGCATCCTGAAAGCCATGACTTGGGGCCCATTTCCAGGTCCCACCTGGGCATGTGCTCAGGAGCCCATGCAAACGCCAGGCTGGCTCCTCTCCAGGGGTGGCAGCCCAGCTCCAAGGGCCTCCTCAGCCTCACCCGGCAGGTGTTATCCTCACCCCATTCTGCAGAGGAGCAAGCTGTGTGCCCCTGACTACCTCTGCTGGAGCCTTTCAGGGACCAAGGCTACTTCTCTGCTTCTGAAGCTCTGAGTTCTTCCTGAGATCAGGAGGCAGACAGGCTGGCGGGGACAAGGCGCTTCATCCTCCCCCGCCCCCACCCCCATCCTACCCCCCCCCCACCCCCCCCCCCCCCCCCCGTGGTTCCTCATCTGTAAGCAGGTGGGTGTGGTCGGAATACAGAGCATGGAAGCCCCTGCCCACTGCAGGCAGCAGGTACACAGGGAACGAGCGAGGCTCAGAAGCAGCCAGCAGGGGCATGCTGCAGGACCTGGTGGGCATTGTGCCTCCCTCACCCCGGGCTGATGGCAGAGGTCGGGCAGAAGATCCCTGAGTGGGGAGTCAGCACACGGCGTGTGGGCTTTGGAGCTGGGGTTCCCTCCCAGAGCTCCCAGGGGATCTGAGCAAGTGCCTCTGAGAACAGAACTGCCTCAGCCCATCTGCAGCTCTGAGTGGGCAATGCAGAGGGTGGTCAGAGGCTCAGCAGCTGTCCCCCACACTACCCATCCGGAGGGCCCAAGAGCTGGACCCAGGCACACCCTGGCAGACTCCCCATGCATAAAAGATGCATACATGGACACATACAGACGGACACATGTCACCTGCAGACACAGATTCATGATGTACCACTGCCACCAGAACTTTGGTGCCCAAACGTACAGGCTTAGACAGCACACCCAGCTAAGGCCGCTTACACGGAGGAGGCCCACGTGATACAGGTGCACAGACACACGGGACATATGAGTGCAATATGTACAGACAGCACCCACAGACGTCCAGACGAGCATGTGCAAGCAGATAAAGTGGCAACCCACACGTGCCCACAGGCGCAGACACAGGCTTGCAATCACCCACCGTCTGCTAAAGGTCCTTTGAACTCTGATGGCCCCGGGATCTGAGCAGGTGCCTCTGAGAACAGAACTGCCTCAGCCCATCTGCAGCTCTGAGTGGGCAACGCAGAGGGTGGTCAGAGGCTCAGCAGCTCCCGAGAACCATCCACACCGCCCCCCACACCAGCCAGGTCTGTCCCCCATCACTCAGTGTGCTCTTAGCTCTCTGCCTCCTTTGATCTCACAGCAGCTGGAAGGGGAGGCAGGGCAGGGGTCTGCAGTGAGGAAGGAGATCTAGAGATGCCAGCTGATGGCCCAGGCCACACGGCTCACAGAGGGCAAGCTGAAGCCTGGTTTGAGGTTGGGTTTCTTGTGTCTGCCCACCAGGCTGCTCCTCCACTTACCCAGGCAGGGGCTCATGGATACAGCGAACACACAGCCAGGCACCTGGTGGGGCCTCGCTGTCACCCAGTCTAAACACTCATGTCCCAGATGAAGAAACAGGCCTGAGAGAAACTCTGCAGGCCTTAGGTGGCCACAGTGAGAGCCCGCGGAGGAGCCAGGGTCACACGTTTGTTCACACACGCCACCACCGAGGCTGTGACACACACACACAGACGGGATCTCACAGGAGCTGTGGGCATGGGCTGCGGACACACGTGCATAGGTTCTCCTGTCTCATCAGCCCTCGCAGGGCCAGACATGGTCCTGTGTTAAGTCCTCACAGTGACAAGGGAGGTAAGAGTGACTGACCCTATTTTGCATTTGAGGAAACTGAGGTGTGAAAAGATAAGGCCCAAAGTTGTGCAGGAAGGGACAGGCAGTGGCATGTTCCAAAGGCAAGTCCACACGTCATACACATCCCCATGCGTCCCCTCTCTCTCTCTCTCTCTCTCACACACACACATACACACACACACACACACACACACACACGCACGCACGCACACACAGCTTCCTGGACTCTAGACACAGCAGCCCCCAGATGCAACATTTTCCCGGCAACCCAAAGTTCAAAGTTTTAGTGTCAGCACCTCCTTCCCAAGGGGTCTTGACGAGTTTGTTTAGGGCTTACCCTGCCTCCCAGGCCCCTGGCCCCCGCCCCTCGATGGGGAAATGAATCCCACGTGCACCTAATCTGCCTGCTCTGAGATGGCCGCGGGATCTGGCCAGGGCTCTTTGACGTGGAAGCCGGGGTACTGCACGGATTGTGGGTKTTTGGTGGTTGCTGTTTCATTTTCCTGAGAGCCAAGGAATTCTCAGCCTCCATCTCCCATCCTGAGATTCTGGGGGCCYAAAGCCTGGACTCCCAGCACGTACTCACAGATGCCCAAGGTCAAGGCTGGCTCCGGAGAGACAGGGAAGGCGCCAGTGCACCTTGAGCATGTCCTGTGGGCCACGCTCTATGTTAGCAACTTTAAAATCCTCTCCCAGAGAGGACCACACCAGGACTCCAAGAAGTGGCCCGAGTGTGTGGCCCAACTGATCCCGAGTCCTCATCCGCCTGTCTCCTTCCCCACCCCAGTCCTGACCCAGTTCCTGGCAGCTTTGCCACCTGGAGTGAGTGACCTCCTCCCTCTGGGCCTCCGGTCCTTCCACGGGTCAGTGAGGACAGTGTTCCTCCGTGTAGGAATAATGAGCTCCTGTGATAACAAGCCCTGTGTCAAAATGATTTGTCCAGCACCAAACACTGTGTGACCAGAAGGGAATAGTTCTATTTTTATTGTTTTCATGTCAAGAGGCAAATTTGCCCCTAGGATTCATACAGGAACGCATCACTTAATATGGCTCCTGGGCACTTGGTAATGAGCACCTGGTTGGCCACCAGAGAGCCCAGCAAGCCAGTCCTCTCAGGAAGTGGGGCGGTGGGGGTGGGGTGGGGGTAAGCACCAGAAGCTTGGCTGGTGGGGCCTGGCCTGGCCTGTTCCTCCGCTCAGGGCTGGGCTGGGGCCTCCTCTGAGCTCGAGGGCCCCGCTGCACCCTGGCGGGCTCTGGCAAAGGCTGCCTTGATTTCTTGGTTGATGAGGTCCMGCCAGGGGTCTCTGAGGAAAAAGGAGAAACAAGAATCATAAACGATCACCAGGAACAACAGTCAATGGAGCCCCGCTGAGAGCTGAGGGGCCACTCCTTTCGGGTCACCATCTCCTGACCCCACAGCAGCCCTGCCGTGGGCATGCCCCGACCCCCACCCTTGAACTGTAGGGACCTAGTGTTCAGACGGGCGATGTGACTTCTCCAAGGCCACACAGAGGCTCCCTCGTCTGCATGTGTGTCTTCCAGCCCAGTGGCCTCCAGGAGATGAGGAGCTAGCCCCAGCTCTGTCCCCTTCTCTGGACCTGACCTGGGAGGCCTGAGGCCCTGGGGCAGGGGCTCTGTGACTCTCAGGTGATATGAAATTCTCAGGAGTTCCTGGTCTCCCACCAGAACCTACTTTTGCTTTCTCATTTGCTGTCCTTGGGTACCTGGGGCAGGCAGACCCAGGTTACTGTCTTGACGCAGTGAAGGAAGCGAGGCTCTGTGTGACAGCTAGACATCACAGCAGCATGACAAGGGATACTTTTTTTTTTCCCTAGTGCTGGAGATAGAACCCAAGGCCTCATGCATGGAGAGAAGGAGCCGCTTTGTGGAGTGTCCTCCTGTCGTGTGACAGAGGCACTCCTCTGGGCTCTGCTGCTTGGGCTACCTCCAGACATGGTTGAGAAGTTTTTATGCCTTTGCCCTGATCTCTGCCAGGCTTTCCAACACCCCCAGAGAGAGGCTAAATAACTTCTGCAGATAGAGGAAATATGTAAGGTGAAGATAAAAGCATCTGGGAAATTTGGCTTTAAAAAAAAGTCAGATGTAACATTGAATTCAACTAAAATGTGGTAACAACCTTGTAAATCCACTTCCAAGAAGAGTTCCCGTCCAGCTGGCACCCAGGGCCCTCCAGCAGAGATCTGTGTGTGTCTGTCTGTTATCTCATCCCCAGACAAGCAGAAGGGCTTGTGGTTCTGTTTCCATGCATGTGCACACCTAGTGCCTACGATGGATTCTGTGTGTGTGTGCGCACGCGCGTGCTCATGTGCATGTGCGTGCACAAGGACCCTGTGAGCTTTGTGCAGGACCAGAGTGCAGATTCTCCTGAAAGGTTCCTAAGCTGGGGAGATGCTCACTGCAACTAATCTCTCCTCCCCCCCCCCTCCTTTCCTGAGCCAAGACGATGAAAATGTTTCTGGCACTTTCTAAAGTTTCTGTCTAGGAGTGGAAAAATCATCAACTGGGAGAGCTCGGGTGTAGGAGATGACAAATGGCTACCAGACCTGCAGGTTCCCAGGGTGGCCGGAGGAAGGCTGGGAGCTAGGCTTCCCATAGTGCTGGCAGGGACAGAGCTAGGCTGGAACAGGGCCAGAGGGTAGCTGGTCAGAAGCCCACACTCCCTCAGCGGTGGGCACTAATGGGCGGAGGTACAGGCGCCTTGGCCATCCAGGGTCTCATGAGACTTGCAGGGCAGGTAAAAGCCCCATAAACACGTCATCAAGAAATACCAGGTAGTTACGAGTACTATGGAGACCACCACACTGGGTAATGGGCTGGAAGGTGACAGCAGGTGGCCAGTGGACAGAGGTGGCCATGGGGCAGGTGCTAGCCGGGCTGGTGAAGTCTGGGAGGCTTTGTGGGAGTTGGGCTTGAGCCCCCAAACAAGAGGATGGCCCTGGAGGGAACTTCCATGTTCATCATGTCTGTGCTTTTAACTTTGGTGGAGATGGGTGGAGGGACCCAGTGGACAAGAGGAAGCTGACTGGGAGCCCTGCAGGGGGCCAGGGTGGATGGGGAAGCCAGCCAGAGGTGGGGGCAAGATGGAGGCCAGGCGGCGGGCTGCATGTGCCTACATGTGGGTGGGGGTCCACGGGAGCTAAGTCCCTGGCCTAGGCGGGAGCCCTCCTGCCTGGAGGTCCCAGAGGCTGCAGACTTGCTTCTGACAGATTAGATGGAGGTGCGCGTTGGGACCTGGGGGAGCCTGGGACAGTAGGCCACTTTTCCACTGAGGAGGGTGATGCCCTGGGTGAGAAGGGGATTCTGCAGGAGGCTGGGTTTCCAGGGCGGTTGGACCTTTGGGGTCTGAGGTTCCCTGAGAGCCGCAGAAGGAAGGCCTGGGGTGGGGAGATCACCGGCCTGGGGAGCCAAGGCAGGCTGAGGAGAGCACTGGTGCCGGGCACCCCCAGGGCCTGCACAGGAACGGAAGCCCCCAGGGTTCCACGGAGCCCAGCACTCAGGCTGGGAGAGGAGAGGGAAGGAGCTGGCAGGGAGCAGAGAGAGACCAGTGGGGGGGGGGAGAAGGGAGTGGAGGCTGGGCCGCGTGCTTCTAGGAAGAGGGAGGCTTCGGAGACGTGGTGGGACTGTCAGTGACGAACTGCAACTGCCCACGGTTCTAAGTGACATGGATGGAGGTCACGGGTGACCTTCTTGAGAACCTTGTGGGCGGGACAGGTGGAAGTCAGACTGCGGGGGCACCAGGGAAAGGGTGGGAGGAAGTAGGCCGTCAGCAGACCCAGCAGAGGCAGGAGCGGTGGGTGGGCCTACAGGGAAGTGGGCCAGAGGGCCGGCTCCTGGGGCACAGGGGGGGAGGCCTCAGGGTACAGGAAGAGCAGGGAGGGCCCTGGCCCCTGCCACAGGGGGCGGGTGGGCTGGGGCTGCTGTGGCAATGCAGCCAGCCTAGCGGAATCTCCTCGGGGCCCTGGGAGCCAGGCTGGGGGAGAGGGACCTGCCAGAGGCCACACAGAACCCAGGCTGGGGCCCTCTCTGGCCCTAAACCTGAGTCTTCCTCACACCCAGCTGGCGCCAGCAGCCATCCACACCCAGACTGTACACCAAGGAAGGGCCCTGGGCTGCACGGCCTCTCCATGAGCAGGGGCTGCTTCTGCACCCAGGAGGCTGGTGTGCCCAAGTGAAAAGGTGCCCTGTGTTCAGTACCCCAAGGCGTCTCCCTTTGCCGGTGCCACCCGTCAGTGCTCCCTTCCCCACTGGGAGCCCCTCAGGACCCTGCTATGTGTGGTGACAGGTGGCCGAGCACTCAGGTGACTGCCCTCAGGCAGGGCTATGCCCCAGGCTCCCTGGGTCCTGAGGCCTTGGCTCCCTGACAACAGGAATGGAGAGAAATGGCTGCTTGACCAGCTGCCTACAGTGGCCCCTGTCCACACCAGTCCTGTCTGCTTGAAAGCATGGCCTGGCCTGCGTCAGCCCGAGTTCGTCCCAGAGAGCCCGCCTGTGCCCCACACATTCCGTTTCGTTGAGGGATGGTCAGGGGTGGCCTTGGTCAGGGGTCCGTCCTTCAAGAGCTGGGAGATTTGGAATGAAGGGGAAATTCTGGGCAGGAAGAGGACAAGCCTGGTTCTGGCCCAAGTTCTGCTGTCATGCTGAGCGGCCCCAGGGCCTTCYCAGTCACGGGTGACAGCTGTGTCCCTTGCCCTCTGCCCTCTGTGGACTGCCCCTGACTGGGAGGAAGTGAGAGGAATCAGCACCTCAGAGCAAAACAGCCCTGCTCCCAGGTGGCCCCTGGGAGGGACAGGGGTCCTAAAAGATGGGACAGAGGGAAGAGCCAAGCCACAGCAGGCTCACGCTCTCAGAGAATCTGCTTCACGTGGCCCCTAAAAGGCAGGTGCCCTTTGGATCCCCAAACTCCATGTGTGGAAACTGTGAACAGTGGCAAAGGTGTAATATTTACCAGATTGTCACCCAGAAAGGAGCCGCACGCTCAGCAATAAGGGAAGGGCCAAGCCAACTGCCCCGAGCTGCGGTCCTGGCGTGTCACCACCACACGTCTGAAGTGCTCTGCACCATACAGGGGCTGCTCAGGGCAGAGTTGGGAGCTCAGGGCGGGATGAGGAGCTCCCCGGGTGGCCGGACCCCACCCGCCAGGACCCCCCACTGGGCGCCACGCTAGTGCTGATGTGGACAGACGTGCTTGAACGTAGTTGAAGAATTCTATATTTTCCAAGTTTTCTGCCCGAGGCACGTCTTACTTTTATAATCAGAAAAACAACAAACATCAACCTTAGAAGAGCCAGGCCCTTTGGGAAACCCTCTTACTCACCCGGGTTGGATGGGCAGCGGTGTGGGGAGGGGTCTGGGGAATCCTGCCTTCCCCACCAGCCAGTAGGTCTCCTGTACGCCCTTCCCCTGCAAGAGAGAGGAAGGGTTCTGAAAGGCCTCCTGCACCCCCAAACCTTCTCGAATGAGTGAGGGCACAGCTGGGCGATTCCTCCAGCCTGTCGGGAGCAGCTAGAGCCTGGAGGCCCCTCCTGGGTCCGGATCCACTTGCTCTGCCGCTCGCTGGCTGTGTGATGTTGGCCAACTGACTTGGCCTCTCTAGGCCTAGTCTCCTCTGTACCTCACACAGCTTTTGTGAAGATTTTTTTTAAAAGTTCATATGTATCGGTGAAACAAGAAAGAAGGGACTTGAACTTGGTGGCCAGCAGGTCTGGGATGCTGGGACCGAGGCTCCTGTGATCTGTGATTCTCTCCAGCCCCCACCACCCAAGCCTCCGATGGCCTTCCTGGGAGAGGAGTGGCAGCCCTGGAGGTGAGGAGGGAGGGAGTCTGAGGGGTGCTCAGGTCAGGGTTGGCTGGTCTGGAGGTTCTAAACCCACCCTGGCCGAGGTGTCACGGGGTGGGTATGGCACTACGGAGTCCCACGCCAGCTTCAAGAACCCAAGGTCAGCATGCTATCCTCCCCGCCTCTCTCTGCATCCTTTCCTACCATCACAGTCCTGTTTCTCAGGACACCCAGTGCCCACTCCCTCAAGCAAGAAATGCCTGCTCTGACTTATCCAGGCTATTCTGCCATATCCCCAGCCATAGGGAGCCATACAGGGATTCCAGGCTGCGTGACCATGCACAAGTCACTGCCCCTCTCTGAGCTGCATTCTCGTGCTCTGACTTTCTGTAGTGTAATGAAGAGAGCCCCACAGTCCCTGAGGGAAGGAGGTGAAGCAGAGGCGTCTCTGCACATGGCAGGTTCAGTGAGTGGCAATGTCCGAGCCCGGGTTCCAGGGGTGACCAGGAGCCTGACCGTGCTCTGGAGAAGCACAGGCTTTGGGGACATCGGATCTGGGTTTTGAGCCGTGTCACTCTGACAAGTCACTTGTCCTCTCTAGTTGAATTACTTCAACTATAAAACGGGGCCGCGTTACTCCTGTCACTATTGCTGTGAGTGACAGATGGGTCGTGTGCATCACACAGCAGTGCGCTACCCCTGCAGGTTGTCCCCACAGGGACTGCTCTGCTCTGGCCAAACGGTTTCCAGGGGAGAGAGGCGTCACTGGAATTTGGGGAGCAAAGAGCGCATGTGCGGTCATCAGACAGCCCAGCTCCCAGCGGCCAGGTCAGGTCAGGTCCCGCGGCCCCCAGAAGCCGCGTCCTTGGGGACTAAGGACGCCTCTCACCTTCAGCTCAGTCTGACCCCGGACAGCAACTTCGTAGCCCTCATCGAGGCCGAGCAGCGCTTCCACGGCGCTCCGGCTGGCATGAATTCTGTACGCTGAGGAGAAGGGCAGTGTCAGGTCACAGCGGGCAGCAGCAGGCCCCGTATTTGGTACAATCATCAAAAAGCCCCAACAGCTCCAGCCCAACCAGTCACAGGTTCTGTGTCTCTCCAGATGATTGGTTACCAAGAGAAATCCCAAGGTGAAGCAAATTGCATAGATTGACTATTAGGGGAACTCAGGATGAAGTCAGAAGCCTCAGAAACATGATTTTACTTGTAGGAAAGTCTATGAAGGCTGAGTCGGAGAAGGTAGGCAGTTGTTTTTCTGAAAGCAGGAATACCCCGTGGGGCTATCATGTTCAGTTACACAGCATGTGCACTGAACATTAGGGATTACACAACCTATTCAGCCAGAAGCAGAGGCCCTGAGGATTTCAACATTTCAGCTGTTCTAACCATGCTATCAGAGTAGCTCCTGTTGCCAGCAAGGGCCTGCATGGTTAGGGATGCCCTTGTGGCAGTGTGAGGGCTATCCCAACATAATGGGAGCTGGCAGGCAGTCAGGGAAAAAAAAAAAAAACTGGTGTCAGGTTCAGTCTTGAAAATGGAATATTACTCAGCCATAAAAAAGAAGAATGAAATTATGGCATTTGCTGAAAAATGGATGGAACTGGAAGCTCTATCATGCCAAGTGAAATAAGCCAATCCCAAAGAACTGAATGTTCTCTCTGCTATGTGGATGCTGACTCACAATAGGCTGAGGGGAATGGAGAGTGGAGGTTCACTGGATTGGACAGGGTGGAGTGGGGGCAAGGGAGGGGGAGGGGAATGGGAAAGACAGAGGAATGAACCGGATATACCTTTCCTTTGCACAGAGGAAACTGTAACTCCACGTCATGTGCAATCACAAAAATGGGAATGTATGATATATGTCAAAATACAGACTACGGTGTGTATATCTAAAAAAACAAATAAGAAATTTAAACCAAAAAAAAAAAAAGAAAGAAAGAAAAAGCAAAACTGGAAGGGATCTTCTCACTGAAAATGAGGAGACTGCGGTCCCCAGGAAGAGTACTTTGCTCAAGGACACTAAGCAAGCCAGTGGCAGGGCCAGGACTAGGACCCAGCTTCCCGCATCTGGAGTCTCTGTTCTCTCTGTTAATCCCCTCATGAGATCATCACAGGTTAAAAGGACCCATGACATGTCCTCCCCACTGCTTTGACAACTAGTGCACACTGCCACCACATGGTGACCTGGTGACTAAGCACCGAGCCTGTAGAGCAGGAGAGCCCCTCCCACGCAGGACAGGAGCAGGCCATACTCACGCAGCCCCGTGGACTCCATCCGGGATGCGGTGTTGACAGTGTCCCCAAACAGGCAGTACCGAGGCATGGTGAGACCCACGACCCCTGCCACACAGGGCCCTGGAACCCGAATGTGCCTGGTGAGCTCCAGCAGGTCCCGGACCAGAGAGCGTCCCTGTGCCAGCTGCACCCGTCCCTACCCCCACTGCCATTCCCTCTGGATGTCCTGGGCTGCGGTTGGGGGCGAGGACAATGCTATCTGCAGTCTCCAACAGTACCCACCCGAGAAGAGAGGACACCTGGGTGAGGCCCTGGGCTGGGCACGGGAGGGCCAGTCCTAGCCCCTGGGCGAGCTGCATGACTGCCATCAATGCTGGGGCAAGGGATCACTGTGCCAGCCCAAAAAAGGACCTCCAGCCCCCCCCCCCCAGGGGCTTTCTGGAGTAGGTGATGCTGAGCTGCGTCTCAAGGGTCGAGAAATAGCAGGCAGGGAACAGCAAGTGCGAAGGCTCAGAGGCAGAGCCCAGGGGTCTGTGGGAAACACAAGCAGCAGGAACGAGGACCCAGGCGGGGAGTGGTGGGCAGTGGGGTCGTGGAGGTGAGCAGGGGCTCGGGGGCCATGGGGTGCAGTAAGTGTGGACTTGATCCTACAGGGCGGCCACCGAGGAAGGGAGGACTGGGGACGTGGGGAAGGCTGAGCAGCTGCTCTGAGGTCTCTCCCGGGTTGTGCACACCAGACTCTTGTTCCGCCTCCTGCCTCAGACTGTCAGCTCCTCTATACGGAATCAGACACCCTTGGCCAGGCGCTGAGACCGACAAGCCCAAACAAAAGACCCAAATCATCACAGACTCTTTGATTCTGATATATTAGAACTTGAAGATGATAAAAGGGAAAAAGAAACCAAATTATTTTAGCATAGAATTTTAGAATCTCAGAACTCTGGAAGCAGTCATTGGGGCTGTCCCAAGCCAACGCCCCAGGGAGGCCTGGACACTGACCCTACCCACATGTAGTGTCCCCTCCCATACCTGAGTGCAGGCCGGCCCTGATGTGTACAGGCACACCGGGCGCGTGCCTCATCCGGAAGTCCCCCACAGAGCTCAGGAGGTCCAGGGCCAGGTTGGCGATCTCGGCTGCGTGCCGGTCCCCATTGCGCTGGGGCAGCCCCGATGCCACCATGTAGGCGTCCCCGATGGTCTCCACCTAGGAACCACAGTCTTCATGCTCCAGCTCGGGGACATGCCCTCCCTGGGCTGCCCCACACCTACCCACATGAAGCCACCGCTCAGGAGCCCTGGCCCAGCCCTGTGGGTCCCCTGCCCACAGTGCCACCTCTGCCGGGCCTCCCGCCTGGCACTTTAGCAATGACCAGATCTGTACATTCCGAGTGACCTCTGTCTGCATCCCAGGTGACCATGGCTTTTTTGTCTCAGACCCGGGCTGTGAGGGATAAACGTGGGGACAGACCAGGGGTGCCATCTGCACAAGGCCACTGTGGCAGGCCAGGCCTTAGCTGGAGGCCACAGCTGCGTTCTGAACCCCTCAGGCCTTCCAAGGCACGAAGGACAGAAAGTGGGCTCTGGAACCAGACGCATGCGGGTCCAGCCCTGGCTCTGCTCTCGGCCTGGGCACACTTTCCACCCTCCAGAGCCTTCATGGGAAGGGCGAGCACGCGGGAAGATGGCCCCTGGGGAGCCAGGCTCTTCAATGCTGAGTGGTGGCTGCGCTCCCTCCTCCTCCTCCTGGTGTTGGAGAAGATAAGCCCTCAGCATCTCCTAAGTGGCAGGGACTCTAATATCACCTGCCTCAACTCCCCAAGCTCCACACTCTACCCTGGCCAGGGCTCTACCGTATGACTCTTGGCTGCTGGGTCCCCAGGCCAGTCTCCAGGACCTGAGGGTGGCACGCTGTTCTCTCTGCCCTCTCTGCCTCCCCTTCTACCATCCGAGGCCTGAGCTGGTCAGGACACCCAGCAACCACTGCCCCAGCAGGACTCGCTTCCCCCACCTACCCAGCTCACTCTCCCACAGCCCAGCCATCCACACACCAGAGGCCAAACGTGACCGCCTCCGTCACAAAGGCGGTGACTCAGAGGTGCCAGCAGAGTGAGCTCTCGGCTGGAGGCAGGGCCCTGGCTCCGGCACACGGTTGTCCCCTCTCATCCATGGGAGGACGCAGCCAGAGCACAGGTGAGTGCAAAGGCTTCAATACTAATACACATAGATGTGAAGGGTTTTTTTTTTATCTACCAGGGATTGAACTCAGGGGCACTCGACCACTGAGCCACAACCCCAACCCCACTTTGTGTTTTATTTAGAGACAGGGTCTCACTATTGCTGAGGCTGGCTTTGAACTCGCAATTCCCGTGCCTCAGCCTCCTGAGCCGCTGGGATTACAGACATGCGCCCCCACACCTGGCCGTAGATGTGAATTTTAACTCTAATACTGACTTGCTGGGTGACCCTGAGCGAGCCATCACCTGCCTCTGAGCCTGTGTCCTCATTTGTACAGCAGGGATAATAATCCATCCTGCGGAGAGGCATTAAAAGGGTTAAAGAAGAGGCTGCATTTGTGGCTCAGCGCAGAGCGCTTGCCTAGCAGGTGTGAGGCTCTGGGTTTGAGCCTCAGCACCACATAAAAAGAAAATAAATAAAATACAGTTATTTTTTTAAAAAGGATTAAATGAGACCCCGTGAAAATCCCGAGGCCCGTGACCCCTGTGGATGCCACGCAGCTGCCCAGGCCTTGCCCTGTGGCTCCCGCGTGCGTAGATGCGTGGCATTGTGGTGTGGATGAAGGAAGGACAGCACTGTCTTCTATTTCCTAATCTGAAGCGCAATCTGTTACCACAGGCGCTTTCATCCATCTGCTTTACAAATGGAGACCTTCAGGCTCAGGGTTGGCCTGCCCAGTGTGGCTTCCAGGGACTCACCCCAGGCTGGGTGGCCATGCGGGGCTCACCGGGCTCTGCTCTGAGCCTGGTCCATAGGAGTGCCTGCTCAGCCAGGGAATCCCAGACCCCTGCAGAACCAGGAAATGGCTGCCTGGCTGCCTCCCAGCCCAGACGGATTAGAGAGCAGAAACCAGATCCTGCTGGGGATGGAACCCGAGGCCAAGGCGGCAGTGAGGAGTGACGCACTCGCCTCCGAGCCCCACATCTGGAGGGGTGCAAGGGCCTGGTTTTAATTCACCTCCCTCTGCCAGAAAGATGCAGGCCTCCTGGCCAAAGTTCAGAGCAGATCAGAAAACGTGAGTCAGAGCCGGGAGGGGACACGTGCAAAGATCAGCAGCCCAGGAAGAGTGGAGACCAGGGGTGACTCAGGGCCCATCAAGGCCACTGGGCTCAGCCAGATGGATGAGGAATCTTTTCCTGAGGAATCTTTTTCTGTGTCCCGTGGGGCTGGGGCGGCCAAGAAGGCAGGAGGGAGACAGCCAGCCTGAGGACAGACCCTCCGAACTCCAGGGGCGCAGAGTCCTGAGCAGGAAGTGGAGAGGCTGCAGAAGCACCTGGGCCACTATGAACCTCTGGCTTTACTTCAAGGGTGTCCACATCAGGCAAATGCTGAGCCTGAGAAGGGGCCTTGGGGACCAAATGCTAGAGTTCAGATTTGAGCCTCACATTCCCCAGAATATAATATCAAACAAGCCACTTAAACTCTATCTCCTCATTTTCTTCATCTGTAAGTTAGGGTACCTCAGAAATCGTGCTGGTTAATGGGTCAGCTCCTACAGAGCATTAGTAGCGGCATCAGTACACAGGAAGCCCTCAGTCAGTGTGGGTGACTATCGTCATTGACACTATAGATAATGACATCACCAACTGCCCCACACTCAGGGTGACAGCTGTCCTCTGGCTCCTCCTTCCCAGCATCCCCTTCAGCCTGGCTTCCACCCTCAGCCCCTACGTCCCCCTCTGCCTTCTTGGATGGCTGTGGCTGGAAGGGAGCTTGGGGGTTACAGATGGGGACTAAGGCCAGTGGCCGAGTGTGGCTGTCTCTGGGCCCTCCCTCCTCTCCTTCTCCACCACATCTGAAGCTGCACCTCGGTCCCCAGCTCCTGGGTCAGTGTAAGGGGCAGGGCTGGGGAGGGGCAGGGCTGGGGTGGGGCAGGACTGAGGTGGGACTGGTCCCACGGCAGGGTGGGCTGGAGAGGACAGGGCAGGAGGTGTCTCTGGCTAGTTCTCATAGTCTGTTTACAAGCTCTCCCCCAGCGGGGAGAGGGTCCTCCCACCATCTAGGAACCTGCTGGTTTGGGGTCATTACACTGGACAAGGAACCAGAGAGGGGAAGTGGAGATTCTTTGTGTAAAGCTACACAGGAACCTGTGGCCGGGCTGAGACCCAGACCCCGGATCCAGAGGTGCATGGGGACTGGGTCGCAGAGGGTGTTGCGGCCCTGCCTGGGCCCCTGCCGCTCTCTCCCCAGCCTCGCCCCTCCACGGGGCCCCTTGGTGGCCTGCCGTGCCAACCCACTCAGCACCACACTCTCCCCAAGTACCCCCAAACCTCAGGCCTTCACAGGTGGTACCCATGTCCAGCCTGGAGCTGCCACGGCCAGGCAGGGTGATGCCGGGAAGACAGTACCTCTTCCAGGAAGTCCTCCCTATCTGGCACAGGGTGCTCTCAGCCTCCCTCGATGGCCACTTCCACTGGGTGGACATTATCATTTACCTGCAGGCCTGAGGGCTTCTGGAGGGCAGGGACTGGGCAGACTCCTCTGTGTGCCCTTGCCCACTAAGGGCCAGGCACAGAGGGACCCATCTGTGGAGATGCTAAAGGGATGGGTGGGTGGATGATGGACAAGGGAACACAGTGGCGACATAAATGCAAGTGGCCCACCCTGTCCACCCCCTCTATATCCATACCCAGTGGGACTCTGCAGTTTCTCCCACCAGAGGTGGAGTTTATTTCGCCTTCTTGAATCTTTTCCTTTGACCAGTAGAATATGTTAGAAATGGCAGTTGCCTCATCCCAGGTGAGGACATGTGCCTCTGCCCTTCTCCCAGGACCTGGACACACCATGGAAACAATCTGAGTCTCACTGGTCAGAAGGTGAGACTCTGTGGACCAGAACTAAGTCTTCCCTATCAAGGCCACAGAGATGTGGAGAACCCAGCTAAGATCAGCAGAGCTGCTCACCTCACCCACAGCTGACCACAGATGCATGAGTGTGTCCAGAAGAAGGTTCTAGCTGGCCCATAAGTTTGTGAGCAACAACAAATGCTTATCATTTTACATTACTCAGCATCGGGGTTATTTGTTACACAGCAGTAGCTAACTGGAAATGGAAATGGACAACACACAGTAGTAAAGAGAGGAATAGAATGTTAGCCTCCTGCTATTCTCACCTTATAGACATCGTGACTGCCCAAAACAGCATCAAACAATGTGTAGAGGTCATTGAGCAGGCCTACCACCTCGATGGGCTCACTCAGAGCTGAGATGGTGGTAAAACCCACAATATCACTGAAGTAGATGGTGACTTGATCAAAGTACTCTGGTTCCACAGTTGCTCCCATCTTCAGAGCTTCGGCCACAGACCTGAAGGGATGGGAGGGACCCGAGTCACACTTCGAACAATTTGAACAGTTTGGAGGTTAGAGAGGAATGTTTAGGAAGAAATGTTGAGTTGAACGTCAGGGGACCTGGGACAGGTCTGCTGGTGTGCTGGCTGCCCTGGCAGCAAGTCCCTGTCCTTCTCTGAACTTGGCTTCTTCTGAAGTGAAGTGAGAGCATTGTGTCCCCTCCTTGTTCCCAGAGGTGTGGAGAGCAGAAATTCAACACCTGTGTGCTCAGCACAGTGCCCATCACACGACCAGTGTCTACCAAAATATGTTGGATAAACAAACAGGAATGGATGAATTGAATGAGTTCACAGACACTGATTTTTCTGATCACCCACTATGTTCCAGAGAACATGTGTGGAGCCAGGCATGGTGGTGCACACCTGTAATCCCAGCAGCTCGGGAGGCTGAGGCAGGAGGATCGAGAGTTCAAAGTCACCTCAGCAATGGCGAGGCACTAAGCAACTCAGTGAGACCCTGACTCTAAATAAAATACAAAATAGGGTTGGGGATGAGGCTCAGTGGTTGGGTGCCCCTGAGTTCAATCCCTGGTGCCCCCAACAAAAAAAAATCTCAGAGTACATGCGTGGAGGCACACTGGAGTCCCTGGGCCACTCACGGAGGGAGCATCTGCGAGAGCAGCCTTTCTGTCTTCCGCCTCTCCAGCTCCAGCTCCTCCGTCCGCTCCTGGACCAGGCCCTCCAGGTTCTGGGAGTACTTCTCCAGCATCCACAGCATGGAGTCAGCGRCACTGGTCTTCTTGCCTTGGTTGATGCTTTTGAACTGAAGATGGAACAACAATCTTTATTTTCCCATGAAGGTCAGTATACCTGACCCTCAGCTTGGGAGTCTGGGATGACCAGAAGGAACTGGACATAATCCCTGCCCGGAAGAGTTGGGCTGTTACAGGAGGTGGATGTGTAAGTAGACAGGGGGAGGGGGTTCTGATGGGGGCAAGGCACAGATGGCTGTGAGAAATAGTTGGTATGGGGGGACAGGCAGCGGGAGGATTTTGCAGAGGAGCCCGGGAAGAGCACAGCACTGCCACCAACAAACATGACCCTACTGACCCTTCCTGGGACACTGTGGGCTCTCTTTGCCCTTCTCAAAGATGGAGAGGGACTGGGGCTGTGGCTCAGTGGTAGAGCACTCGCCTAGCACGTGTGGGACCCTGGGTTTGATCCTCAGCACCACAAAAAATAAATAAGTGAAATAAAGGTATTGTGCCCAACCACAACTAAAAAATAGATATTAAAAAGAAGATGGAGAGAGAGATGGGTAGATGGATGGATACATGGATGAATGGATGGATTGAATATATAGAGATTTTATATATATACATATTTGTACATACCTATATAGAATCTACATGTATTTTATATGTAGGTATGAAATATAGATAACTATTTCTACCCCTCTATTCCTCTTCATATTCCCAAAATAAATACATAAACAAATACTGGCAGTGGTGGTGCACCTGGAGCTGAGGAAGAGCCTACCCTGGGGGAGCACCTGACATCTGTCCCCTCCTCCCTCTGGATGCTCCTCTCACTCAGTGAACCTCACCTTGGCAACTTGCCACTGTGGCTGGGGATGGAGGGTGGGAAGGGGAGGCCCAGATGCTGCCCCAGGCTTGATGGCTTGGCCTTGAGGAGCCGTGGCCCGCACACTCCACCCCCACCCACAGGACTTGCCTGGCCTCACCCACTGCAGTCTCAAGGCAGCCTGGGGGACCCGGGGTGCTCTCATCTTCCCCTCCCTGACTCGGGAAGCAGCGCTATCTTGCAGTCACAAATGGCCTGTCCACTTGGTCACCAGGAGGCCCATCTAGGTAGAGCTCCACGGGCAGCTCCGCAGACACACCTGGCCTGTGCCCTCTGTGTCTCATTCCTCCCCTGGAGAGCCCAGACACTTCCGTGCTTCTTAGGGAATTGCCACGGGATGAAGTGACACCTCGTGGGGGCTGGCTGCAGGAAGGCTCTGATGAATGTCCCCGAAACTCGTGATGCTGAGAAAGCTCTCTTCAGAGCGTGGAGCTCAGGGAGGCAGCACTGGCCCGGGCTGGGGCTCGCACTTAGCCAAGCACAGCCCATGGGTGGACCATGGCTCATGGGTGCCCTCCTCTTCTGGGGAGCACTGACCTGGCTGTAAATCTGGTCCAAGCTTGGTCTGTCATCTGGAGCCTCCTCCCAGCACTGCTTCATTAGCTGGATACACTCGGGTGGCCCGAGGTCAGGGGACACCAGTGGCCGGCACAGGGGAGGGGGAGATGCCACCTTTCTGATGATTTCTGCAAAAAAACCACCCCATGAGCCGTGGGTCTGAGGTGCCCTGAGGGCTCATGGCAGGAGGGCAGGCTAGGCCTGGGCAGGTGTGCGGATGAGTCCCAAGGATGTTCCTSGCGTCCCTCTTCTGTGCCCCAGGGCATGGCTGGCCACAGCTTTGCTCTTTCCTGAGTCTGCCCCCAGCGTGTGGCCGGGAACAGGTCTCAGGAGCTGGGAGAGCTAGGTCTGAATTCCAGATCTGCCACCATCACTCTGAGGTGGTGGAGAAGACAGTGACCGCTCTCAGCCTGTTTCTCCTTCTGTGAAAGAGCTTAGTAAACGAGGCCCTGAGGCGCACACCTGTAATCCTGGCTCCTTGGGAGGCCAAGGCAGGAAGATGGAAAGTTGGAGGCCAGACAGAAGAACTTAGCCAGACCCTGTGTCCAAGTGAAAAATCAGAAGGGCTGGGCTGCAGCTCAGTGGTAGAGCATCCGGGGTCTGATCCCAGAACTGGGGGAAATGAGTTCAGCGAACTGCCTCCTTGAGAGGGGTGCTGAGGGAGGAGGAGGGGACGGATGTCAGGTGCACGGCCCAGGGCAGGCTCTTCCTCAGCTCCAGRTGCACCACAACCGCCATTGCTTAGTTCCCAGCAAGGCCCACGAAGGTGAACCTTGCCTCTGAAGCAGACTGGGAGGAAGAAGGGCTGGCCACCACRTTTGGGCTCCAGGGTCAGCAGATCAGAATGGGGCTTCAGTTACCATTTACATTCTGTGCAAGTTATGTCACCTCTCTGAGCCTCGGTTTCTACACCTATTAAATGGGCATGCAATACTACATACATATCCCATAGAACTGTTAGGGGATAGCAGGTCACCCTCCTCTGAGGAGGCCTGGGAGCCTCTTCTGATGGAGGTGGGAGGCCCTGAGCCAGTGAGGAGAAACCTCCTTCTGGATTCATTCCCCYTCTACTCCCACTGATGCCCCTATGTTGGGGACAGTGCAGGAGTCATTGTCCCATTTTACATTCAGGGAAACCAAGGCTCCTACGGGCGAAGGAGGGCACCCATCTCGGGTCAGTAAAAAGCAAACACTGTAACTGGGCCTGATTTCCACCAAACCTGCCCAGAGGTCCCCACCGTGCAGGCACAAAACCCCAAGTCAGGAGAGCCGGTCTGTGCTTGTAGAAGAGTGTGTGTAGATAGAACCCACTAACCACACACACACACACACACACACACCTCTGTTTTTCAAAAGTCTGCAAACGATACTGTGATGAATAAAATACAAATGCATTTCAAAGAGTCACAGACTTCAGAACAGATTTTTGTCCTTGGATATTTTCATAGCCAGCAAATATTAAAAAGAGTCCTGTAGTTACACTTGTGACATTAAAATGTTCTCATATGCAAACAGGCTGGGAACAGCTGCCCCGGCCAGGCCACCTCAGGCTAGTCTAATCTTGTGTTGTCCTCATTGGGGACATGCTTCCACACCCCAGGCACCCCTGGGATCCATCACCTGTTGCGAAGATCACCCAGGTCTCTGGGGCCTGGGGGGATGACTCCAGGGGACTTTAGGTTTATCAAACTTGAATCAAGGGACTTCCCAAATCTCACTTCTACTTCTCACCTAGGAGCCCCTCCCCTTCTCATCTCACTGACTCCTCTTTGAAAACCCATTTTGGGGGCTGGCCAGTTGACACTGCAGGTACAAGGGCCTTGGAAACTGCAGAGGGACGTACACATATGGGACCTTAAAATGATATTAGAGACAGGTGAGAATGAGGGACTCCCATGACCACATCCCTCAAACCACCCAGGCAGTATTTACCGAGCCAGCCCTGTGCCAGGGCCTTGGCCTAAAGCAGGCACTTCACTGACTCTTACAGCTATGCTGCAAACGAGGTTCCATGGGCCCCATCTTACAGATGAGGAAACTGAGGCTTAATGCTGAAAGGGATCTATTTGAAGTTGTAAAGCAAATGGGTGGAGTAACTGGCCTTAGGTGGGTGTCCCCCAAGTCTAAGCTCTGAACCCTGTAGTCCCTGAGGCTGGGAAGTCTTTGGAATAACAGCCCCATTCCAGGTTGGCCAGAGCATTCCAGGCTGGGTCCCTGCAGCCAAAGTCTGTTGGTGGAGCCTGGCTTGGAGGGTCTTGCACTGGAGTGTGTCCTGCAAACAGGGTCTGGCTGGTCCTTGCCTCTCTCAGCAGGCAGATGTGGGGGCGGGGGCAGCTGAATAGTGTTGGACAAATGGCCTGATAGAGCCCCTTCTCCTGTCCACTCCCCCACCTCAGACACTTGGGGCCTATAATGCTCATTATTGACCAGGCAGTGATTTGGTAGAGAAAGGGGAGGGGACTAGGCCCCTATGAGTTCAAAGATTATCCATCAGGAGTGGCCGGATGGTGGGCTCAGCCCTGCCTCTGCCTGGCACTGCAAGCTGGAGTGGGGACAGGTCCTGAGACTGGACAGAGACAGCAGGGGGACAACTTCAAGAGTAGCCTGGGGTTCAGAGAGGCCCGACAGAGAACACAGAAGAGRGGGGAAATTTCTGAAGTTGGTCCCTCCCACAGGGGCCAGAAGAGAGAAAACATCTACACCCAAAAGTATGGGCACAGAGAAGCTCTTGGCGGAGTCCCACCAGGGCAGTAACCCGGCCCCAGMACTGAGCAGCCTGGCCACATCAGCCGTGGGGCCTGGTATCTGGATTATGTTTTAATTTTCTCTCCATTTTAAAGATGAGAAAACTGACGCTCAGAAAGGTGAAGTGATTTGTGCAAGCCCATGTGTAAGGTCACATGGTAAAACTGAGGTCTGTCAGGACACAGGTCTGGGCTGGGCGTGGAGCGAAGCCTTGGTGAGGGAATGAGTGTCGTGGACCGGGCAGTGCCATTGGGAAAGGAAGGGGCAAGAGTTTACCCTGAAACCAGCRTCTTTGGCCTAGAGCTGATCAGCTGCCATTTTGGCAGAGTTGCCAAGGGCTGCCTCGCCTGAGTCAAGGAAAGACCCCATTTCCACAGTCACTTTGCCCGTGAGGTTGTTCTCAGGCCCCGGTTTCTTGAAGGCCACAGAGCTCCCCAGCTACCTGGAGACTCCAGCCAGGGTCGGGCCAAGGAGCAGCAGGGGTTCTTACCTTCCGCTGGGAGACCCAAGCCGCCGTAGGGTGGGCCCCGAGTCAGCACCTCCTGCAGGATGATGCCTATGCTGAAGATGTCCCCTTTGAGGGTGCCCTGCCGGGGCCCCCCAGGTTCCCGCAGCAACTCAGGAGCTGTCCACAGTAGCTCTACAATCGGAGGACAGGGCCACACGCCATCACCCACTGCACCCYGGCAGAGCAGGCCAGGGGCTTCAGGCCTGTGTCTCCTCTGTCCCCACCATACCCTGGGGGATAAAGCCTTCTGCTCTCCAGGAGTCACAGATGAAGGGCGGAGCCATCCCCCTCAAGGACATAACACAAAAAGTGTCCTGAGGACTAGAGATCCCCGCTCTACCCTTGCTTCACAAGAACCTGGTTTAAAGGTTTCAGGACCTGTCAGCCTCCTGCCCACCCTGAGCTGACCTTCTGGAGCTGGCGGGGCAGACCGCTGGGCATCCAGGAGCTCCGCATAACCGTGGTCAGTGACCTTGAGCACAAAGCGTCCATCCACCACACAGTTCCGGGACTTGAGGCGGCCGTGAGGGAAATGTTGGTGATGCAGATACCGCATGCCCTGGGTGGGACRAGATGGGATCCACTAGGTCTCCAGGATGAATGAGAGGGACCAGGGTGTTCCCACGGCCCCCCGAAGACTTTCCTGCCATGCCTCTCTTTTCGCCTGTTGCTCTAATTTCTCAAGGTGGAAGGAGCCCCAGCAKGGGAAATGTGAGCACCTCGTGCCTCCCTGACTTCCCACCACCCCGTGGCTCCCAGGGAGGGTCCTTACGCGGATCAGATCCAGCAGCAGGGAGGCCTTGAAGGTCCAGTCGAGCTGCAGGGCCTCGTTCCGCAGCAGGTCCTCCAGGCTGCCCCGGGAACAGTACTCCAGCACCAGAGCACTGACCCCAGGGCCCACGAAAAAGCCCAGGCAGGCTGCCACGTTCTCGTGCCGCATGTCACGCATCTGCCGGGACAGTGGAGACCTTAGCCGACTCCACGGGACAGGAACACAGGCCTGGTTCTCAACCTGCATCACACCATGCCCCCAGAAGGCATCAATTACCTCCCTGCAGATGAAGGGATTGCGGAGGGAGGAAGAGGAGCAGAAGGAATCCTGCATTAGCAGAAAACAGCCTGCCTGATGTTTCAGACCCCACCAGGGGAGCATATGCCAAAGCAGGACAGACGGACCCTTGTCTGGCGAGGCCTTCCTCACAGACACAGTTCAGGGCCCCCGGCATCCTCTTCCCCCTGAGAGATTCCCAAGCACGTTGGCATGTGTGGAGAGTCAAGAGTGGCCTCCAATCCTTTGACAGTCTTGCCATGCAGAGGTGAACTCTGTCCCCTCTCCTGTGACTCCTGGGAACAACTGAATACAGTGGAAATGGCCTCCTACACATGTGTGTTCAGGACTCAGGAGACTGGCTGCTTCCGGTTCCTGTCTCTTGGAACACTCTGTGTTGGAGTCCTTCCACCTGAGTCCTCCCACTGGAGACCACGTGGAGAAGCCCTGAGACTATCAGGAGAGGGAAGATGTGACCAGCTTAACCAGGCAGGGAGCGTGGGAGTGAAGCCATGTTAGGCCCTCCCGACCAAGAATCAGCAGTGTTTTCTGTAAAGGTCCAGATAGTAAATATTTTAGGCCTTGTGGGTCTCTGTCACAACTATTCGCCTCTGCTCTTATAGCACAAAAGTACTCACAGACAATGCCTAAAGGAAAGAACATGGCTGTGTTCCTATAAAACTTTATTTATAAAGCAGGTTTGTGGACCTGGTTTGGCCTCTGCTGGTCCATTTTCCAGCTAAACACCACTGAGTGATCCCCAACCAGTGCAGAAGCAGAACAGAGTTGCCCACAAGATATAAAATGGTCATTGTTTTAAGCCACTACATTTTGGGGGCACACTGTTACACAGGGGTAGACAACCAGAACAGCACAGAGAAGGTTCTGAGAAGTGCTATGGCCAAAACAAGCAATTTCCAAATTTATGTGACCACATGCAGGACCTTTATTTGAGGAAACAGTTATTCGCTTTGGTTGGAAAATGCCCACTGGGAAAAGCCTAAGTTTACCTCCAGYCACTTAATCTCTCCAAACTTTATTTCAAATAGTGGTTGAAGGATATGGAAAATAGCATCCTCCAAGAAAAGGGGAACAACAGACCCCAGGGAGAAAAGGAGGACAGTGTGATTGGGGGGGAGGAGGGGAAGGCCCACAATGGGTCCTGGGCTCTGGGCTCCCATCCTCTCCCAGTGAAGATGGGTCCTACGGAGAAGGCAAACAACGGGCTCTGGGCTCTGCACCTTCATCCCAGTGAAGATGAGTTTCAAGCTTTTACAACTGTTTTCCTGAGTTAGATTTTTAACTTGCACAATTAGTTTCCTCACTGCCTAAGAAGCACGTCCTCAATCTTTAGTGATTACGTCACACTAAACATCCTGCTATGATCCACTCTCATTAAGACCTAGGAAACACAGACCCCTTTGTAACCAGTCGCCATTTTATCCCCTAAAAATGTGCCATTCCACCCCAGCTGAATAAAGACAGCTTGCTGATCTGTTGAAGTCTGCTTCTGTTTTGGTTTCTTTTCTTTCTTTCTTTTTTTCTTTCCTTTCTTTTCTTTTTCTTTCTTTTTTTTTTTTTGCTTACAGTGGTAATGTTGAAAATAATAATAAAAGTAACAACATTAATAAACTAATAAAGTTCACAATACATCGAAGGCATGCCCCTTGCCAGGGACAGTTCTAGGCATTCTGGATATTCCTGCTCTCCTTACCACTGTCCTAGGACTGGGTGTCTGGCTCCATCTTTATCCAGGATCTTCCTGAGCTCTACCTACCATCCCACGCTGCCCTCAGGATAGTGCCAATCTCAGGTGAAGGTGTATATGTGGTTTGTGGGGACAAATGACTAGAAGCTCTGTAGGGAAAGAACCTCTCTTCTCCAAAGCCCAGCACACTGGCACATACATGATGCTTAATAAATAACAGATGAGTGTGTGAAAAGGTGGGGTGTGTGTGCAGGATGAGGACCCTTGATGGTGTTGAGATGCTATGTGATAGCACTGCTGGGGGACTGTGCCCCTGGGGTTATGATGAGGACCCTACTGGGGTGGCAATGCTGGCATGTAGGGATGCTGGCATGCAGGGGTGACAGTGATGGAGTATGCTGTGCTGAGGTGCTGGCCATGGGTAGCTATCGTGAGGACAGAGAGGACTTCTCTGAGGCAGAAGCTTCCACACTGAGCAGGAACCAATCCAACCAGTAAGGGTCTCCTCACAGAAMCCCCCCCCCATGCCCTCTGCAGCCCTACCTTTCTCAGGAGGCTGAGGCAGCTCGGGCGCAGGTCAGGGGCTGTGCCTGCTTCAAACTTCTTCAGCCAAACCCAGTCTCCCTGYAGAAGGATGAGCAAGAGTTTGTGCCGTTCCCGCTGCATAAACCTGGGGAAACCCTCCACTCCTCAGCCCCGGCCTCTTCCCCATCAGTGTACTGCTTCTGTGTGATCTGAGCCTGGTGGAGCTTGGTCAGCGGGGACAGTGTTAGAGTGACCGGGACCCAGCTAGAGTTAGGGCCCAGGCTTTGGCTGATGGACATGAGTTCTAGTCCTAGCTCTACCAYATCAAAGTTCCTGCAAGTGAGGGGAGGAGGTGGCCTCAGGCTGGGCTAACGGCCACCCACGTCTCCAGTGCCCAGGAGAKGGGAATATGAAGCACGTTAGTTCTCACCTCCAGGTCAGCTTCACCCTGCAGGCCTCAGGCACCCTTGATGCCCAAACCCTGTGAGCCAGAGGTGGGGCTCTGGGACCCAGGGACATAGGAGAGGCCTCAGGCTAGACTCTGAACTTGCCCAGGCTCTGCCCAGCACCAATTTGGCCTCACCCACAGCCAGCTAGTTCTCTCAGAAAAACAGAAAAAAACATGTTTGGTATATCATTGAAACCTCCTCAACAGAAAGGAAAAGTGGAATCCCCCAGGAGGCCAGGTGGAAAAGAAGCAGCAAGAGTCTCATGTTGCTTCCCACATAAACAATTAGTCTGGCTCCTCAACTGTGGGAGGCGAGAACATGAGGACCACATAGTGTYAATGAATTATTGAACTTGAGAATAACAGCCACCGAGAGACTGAGGTATCCTTAGAGTCTCATTGGTCTAACCTCTAACCTTCCAGCCTCCCTGGAGGATGTCCTGGGCTGGGTGCTGCCCTTCACATCAGGGCTTGGGGACCAGGGACCACACTTTCCTTGAGCAGAGAGGAGAGTGACTTAGGCAGTACCCAGGGACAAGTGGCCAGGAACTGGTGGTTTCCAAAGGTCAGATCATGAACCAGGCTGGGCTGGGAGCTGGGATCCTGCTGCCTGGTTCTAGCTCTGCTTGCCAAGGAACCCAGGAAACCCACTGCTCCTACCTGGGTCAGTTTCTAGTTCCATAATAATACTGAGGCACAACACAGAGGCACAAAGGGCTGTGGGCTTCCTCAGCTTTTCCCAAACTGATTAGAGCTCCCCAGTGGGTATGTGGATAGCAGAGGCCCTCACCTGATACAGGGCTACATTCGTGGGCTCCTGGGGGGCTGACAGGCTCCTTGCTGACCCCTGGGCCATTGACCTCAGGCTCCCGCCATCTGTCACACTCCTCGATTCACTTGCACTGTCCACCTGCAACCTCTGGAAGGGGTCAGGCATGGTCAAGATCTAGCCCTGTTTTCTGTCCACTGTCTGTCCCACACCCTGTCCCACCCGCCTCGCACACCCATCTACTCGGAGGCCGATGGAGGAAGGTGAGCTCCTGGGCTGTCAGCAGGATCTGTTGGGGACCCCTTGCCAATTGCAGCTGCTGGATGCCCAATCTGGAAGGGAGAGAAAGTGGGAGTACTGCAAAGATCACCCCCACCTCCATTGGCTGGTAGAACTGCCCAAGTCAGAGTCCTCCCTGATTAGCTCCATTTCATCTCCCAACAGACCCARTGGGACTGGGCGGTCACTGAGCACTGACTTCACAGAACCCTCAGCCTCAGGCACAAAGGGCTGTGGGCTTCCTCAGCTTTTCCCAAACTGATTAGAGCTCCCCAGTGGGACCCGGAGTCTTCCAGGGAGAATTGTTTCCAGAGGTTCAGAGCCCCCTGGGGATGGTCCTGGCCAGCCCTGCTTTGTACAGATGGGGAGCTTCAGGGGACAGAGTCTTATCCAGGGCCTTGACCAGTCCCCACTGTGGATGGAAAGGAGTGCTGAGGACCCTGAGGTCTAGGGAGATGGAGGCTAGTGGCAGGCCCTGTGGGCCAGAGCCAGGCTCAGCCAAGACAGTCTCTTACCTGAAGAGGTACGCAAGGGCCCCACCTGCCAGCGCCAGGACACAGGCCAGCACCAGAGTGAGGAGGCTGCCAGGAGACTGCACACCTGTGGGGAAGCGGGGATGGACAAGARTCACAGCGGTGGGGACAGCTGCCTTCCCTGGCCCTCACTCTCTTCCTTGGTTTCTAACTGGGAGAGTCCTGCCTGCTGGCAGAGGAAGCTTCACCGGCAGATGGCAGCGTCAAGTCCCAGCACTGCTGTCTGTGGTTTTGCCTTGGGCTCTCTGCCTCAGGACCCCATGAGAGCCTTGGTCACATTCAGAGAAAAGTGGTCTTTTTTCTGTCAAGCCCCTTCCCACTAGTCTGAGCTGCCAGACAGCAGGGCCTGTGTCTTCCCCCTTTCAGTGTCCCTAGCACTTAACACAGGCCTGGACAAGGCAGCTGCTGGATAAAAACGGAGCAATTCACTGCCACTTCTTGCTTGCCCCCTGCAACAGGCCACTTGCTACCTGCCTTGGCAGCCAACTTCACTGTGGGAAGACACTGGCGACTGGAAGAGCCTTACTCTGAACCCAGATCTCTAGGCCTACACCAGGAGCCAGACACGGGGAGGCTAGACCCCCGAGGGAGTGGGTGGGCGACTTGCATGGGCAGCTCAAGCATCTGCCTGGACAGCTAAGCGAAAGAGGACACTGAGCCCTGCTGCCCAGCAGAGGGGACCATCCCTTCCTTCCTTTCTTGTCAGGTCACACAGTTGGTCAGCAGACTGTCAAGCTGCAACCCTAAGTATGTGACACCAAGCCCCTGCTCCCTGGTCCTGCAATCTATGGTATCAACTGTGTACAGTATCCTCATGATAACCATGGCCATCCTGACTTAGATGGAGTGGTCATTATGGGATCCCTGAGAGAATTCAAACTCCAAGGCTGGTGTCCCTGCTCAGGATCCTGCCTCCTGGATCCCTCTTAGAGCCACTCCACCTGCCTTTGCCCCCCGGCCTCCATTATCCTGTGAGTTTTGCCAGCGTCTGAGCTGAGCACAGAGTGGATGTCAGTAAGTCCAAGCTGATTGGTTACCGATTGGATGGATTAAARCCTGTTAGAGGGCACCTCAGTGAGCCAGGCTGGGGGAAGAGGTGTGGGGAGGCTCTCCTCCAGGATCCATTGCCCCTGGCTGCCCTGTCATGGCCTGACCACACTGTGTGGTGTGGTTTCTGGCTGTCCCTGTGTCTGCCACCAGACTGAACCTACTGGAAAGAGGGGCCTGGGTCTGATCTTCAAGAGAATCAGCCCATGAGGCAGGAAGGGTGTGTGATTCTCTCCCAGACCCTGGGGCTGAGCACAGTGGCTGGGGTAGCAGGGACAGCTGCTCAATCATTATTTGTGGAAGAAAAGAGAAGCCAATAAACAATCAGGTGAAGACTTCCCCCGGTCCTCCCTCACCAAGGGGATGCCTTGGACCTCACATCTAGCTGGGAGACAGATGGCACTAGCCGTCCCCAGCATAGGACACACACCCTGTGAACACACTACAGTGCCATGTGCTCAGGGGCCATGGGAGCACAGAGGAGAGGCCCCAGGTTGACTGCAGGGCTGGTCTTGAAAGACAAAGAGGATGAAGGAGAGCTCGTGACCCTGGGATGGAGGGTCACGAGCTCTCCAGGGAGAGCAAGGTACACAGTCAAGGGTGGCCCAAGAGGGAAATGTCTGTGGACAAAGTTTGGGAGAGCAGGGAGAGCCCAGGTCAAGAGAAGTGTGGGGGTTTGGGGCAGGGTAGGGGTGCACACAAGCTTAGTCAAACCTGAGTTGCCCACTAGTGGTGGTGACCACCATAACTACGTGTGCATTAGGGAACATGGGTGCACGTGTGTATACCCATGTGTGTGCACATCTTTATAGACCTAGGCACGTGTGTCAGTGCAGTCTCTTAAGGGTGATACTCAGAATGGATGAGTGACAAGACTCAGAACAGTGTGGACCTCCTGGTCTCACACCCTTGGTGGTCATGAGGAAAAGAAATCTTGCACTTAGTCAGAATATTTATGCTCAGCATGAGCTCAGTCACAACTCTATGTGTGACCTCCAGCAAGTGACCAAATTTTTCTGAGCTTCAGATGTCTAGTGGTAGAAGGAAACTAGAAGGAAGAAGGAAAATAGCCTAGTTAGGAGCTGTGGAACATTTTAGATCAAAGAGAAGGAACATCTCTGTAAATGCTTTAACCCTTCTCATCTGAGGGAGGCCTTGCTCGGTCTCCCCTGGTGCTCCACAGCTGTTGGTTCAGTGTTCTCATGAAGTTTCATATCCTTTCTTTACACCTGCTCCTGCTACTCACCTAAGATGGCCCATGTGGAAAACTTTAATGAAGGATGGATGGGTGGTGATGGGTGGATGGATGGATGGATGGATGGATAGATGGATGGGTGATGGATGGATAGATGGATGATAGATGGATTGGGTGATGGATGGATAGATGAATGGAGGATGAATGGATGGGTGGGTTGTGAATAGATGGGTGGACAGATGGATGAATAGATGGATGGACGAGTGGATGATGAGTTAGCTACCTCTCATACACAGCGTATTGGGGTCAAACCAGCAGCTGGAGTCATGGACTGGAGGTGCCCCTCCTGGAAAGTGAATGGCCTTGCCCAGTGGCTGCACTTGCCATGTGCCTGTGTCCAGAATGTGGGTGGGTACCAGCTGGTTTCCTTTAGCATCTGTGTCCAGGATGACATACTGGGCCAGCCTTCTGCCCCTCTTGTCCGTTCGTATCCTCTGGCTAAAGCCTGCCACATTGAGAGCCCCTGTATGGTCCCCTAAGTGAGCTCCTGAGAGCCCTGCCCCATGGCTCCCAGAGTGGTTCAGGGCATGGGCCAACAGGACAACAGCATCATAGATGGTTCCAAAAAGAGGAGACACCTGTGGAAGAGAAGCCCCCCACTGCAAAACCCCACAATACAGGCTCCCAGGCATCTCTGGGCCTTAGTCTTTCTACTAATAACAATTATTTAGATAACTGCTCCCCCTTGTCCTCAATACAGTCCTTTCTGAGGCCACCAGATCCCCTCAGTCCCCATAGCCACCCTCTTTGTCACCAACTCTGAGGCTTCACAGGTATCTCAAACCTTCCCAAAGCAAAGCTCCTGGTCTGGCTCATTGTTCTCCATCCATCCTTCTCTGGCTGCTTCTGAGTATTCAGAGCTCAACTCCAAGGCCCCCCCAGGGGCTGCCCCCTCCCATTCTGCCTGTGCACCATTCCACCCCAGGCTCCCCCATCACTGGATCCTCTTCTATTTTCTTGATGGCATTTCACACTTGAATTTGGTTATCTTGTCCCTTGGTTATTGCCTGTCTCCAGAAGGAAGCCCTTGAAGATCAGGTCTGTCTCCTATATCACCAGGCTCCCTGCACGGTGGCACATATTAGGAAATAAGTCTACGTTTTTCAGATGAATAACCAATGGAATGACCCTCCATCCACACCTGCATCCCATCAGGAGCTCCAGACATTACTCTCTTCTTATCACTAAGAAACAGAGATGCCAAGGGACACTTGAGTCCAGCCAAGTCCTAGAAGCCACAACCAAGGCAGCAGCACATCCTGTCTACCGAGTCCTCAGACGTGCCGTGATGTCACCCCATCCTACCCCCATTCCCACCTGGCACTTCCAGAACCCCCAGCCTCCAGGTGTATGAGAATCTAACGCACCTACCTGCTCTGGCTGCAGGTGGGCAGCCGCCTGTGCATCCATGCTGGCAGCAGCAAAGGCCTTGTCTTTGGGGCCAGACTCCAGGGTGACAGTGAGCACTGCATCGTAGACCTCCTGCAGGGCCCCGGTGTCACCCAGGGCCTGGTAGGAGCGGTTGTGGTAGGGCAGGGGGAAGAGCAGCGTGTCGTAGGGCAGGAAGACCAGCCTCCCGCCCGCCAGGCCCTCAGCCCAAGCGCGGCTCAGCAGCACGGTCTGCTCGGAGCCCCCCAGCAGTGCCGAGTGCATGCACAGCACCACAACTGCAGGGAGACAGCAGGGTCACCTTTGCAGCCTGGTCTAACTGCGGCCTTCCCTGAAGCCCAGAATTCTTTGGCTTAAGAGCTGCTCAGAACTCTTCTCCACTCCCTGCCCCACATCAGGCTGCAAAGGCAGAATTTCCTCTGTCTTCTCCCCATAACCATTATGGCCATGGCCACCAAATCTGGATTTGTATGAACCCAGCCCTCCCAGCCTCCCCTCCCTGCATGCCCATCTGATAATTTTGTTCAACTTCCCACCCTATCTCAACCCTCTGACCTTGATAACTACTAATATTTATTAACAGCTTTCAATGTATGTGACCCTTGCTTTTGGTCATATGACAGCACTGGCCAAGCATGGTGGTGCATGCCTGTAATCCCAGTTGCTCGGGAGGCTGAGGCAGGAGTATTGCAAGTTCAAAGCCAGCCTCAGCAATTTACCGAGGCTGTGAGCAACTTAGACTCTGTCTCAAAATAAAAAACAAGCGGCTCAGTGGTTGAGCATCCCTGGGTTTAATCCCTGGCACCAAAAAAAAAAAAAAAAAAAAAAANAAAAAAAAAAAAAAAAAAAAAAACCAACTACAACAGCACTAAGAAGTACGTTTATCAGCACCTGCATCCCGTCTGGAGTTCCAGACACTACTGTCTTCTTATCACTAAGAAATAGAGATGGCAAAGGACACTTGAGTCCAGCCTCAGATGAGGATACTGAGGCACAGTGTGGTTAAGGAATTGTCCCAGAATACATCACCACCAACGTGCTAGAGCCAGGAGTTGGACATAGGGCTGGCTCACAGTTTATAATCCTTTAAATTTTTTTCAAATGAAGAAGATTCCCATATCATAAAAGTCGCTCTTTTACAAGTGTGAAAGTGTACCATGGCTTCAGTACATTCAAAAGGGTTGTTCAACCATTGCCATTATTTAATCCAAGAGCATGTTTGTCACCTCCATTAGTAGTCACTCCCCATTCCTCCCTCCTAATCTGTCTCTGTGTAGATTTTCCTGGCCTCCCTCCTAATCTGTCTCTGTATAGGATTTTTTCTGTATCTTTCATCTCAATGGACTTGTACAACATGCATTCTTTGTGTCTGGCATCTTAGTGTGAAGTGTTCTGGGCTCATCTTTGTTGTGACATGTCAGGACTTCATTCCTTTCAATGATTGCATCATATTCCGCTATGTGGCTGACCACATTTTTGTTATCCATTCCTCATCAGGTTATACTTTTTTTTTTTTTGTACTAGGGATTGAATCCAGGGGCACTTAACCACTAAGCCACACCTCAGTCCTTTTTGTATTTTATTTAGAGATAAGGTTCTCACTGAATTATTTAAGTCTCACTAAATTKCTGGGGCTGGCTTTGAATTCTAGATCCTTCTGCCTCAGCCTCCTGAGCTGCTGGGATTACAGGCATGTGCCACCACACCCGGCCAGTTTGTACTCAGCTGTGGCCATGGGCAGCATCCTAAAGGTCTAAGCAGATATGGATACATTCATCTTTGTCTTATAATAAGGTAATAAGGAAGCCAATTGCCTGTCCAGGCACCAGGACCCTGCCCAAGATAAAGGTCCACATCAGATTTCCTCAGCTGCTTCTCTCTTCCCCACTTGGGTCCCTAAACAGGGCTCCAACCACAGCACAAAACAGCTACTGCTTGTTTGGATGTGTCCCAGTTTCCTATTGAAATTCTTCTTTTTCCAGAAAACCCAGGAAAGTGGAGCCACCAAGTAAAGCTAGGGAGTCCTCTTGCTGGGGCTTGAGGCCCCTCATTACATGGAAGTAAGAGTCTTGAGCCCTGGGTCTCAGCTGAATCCCCTAGTGGCCATGCTGTGTGAGCCAGTGGCCACAAGTCACCCCCTCTGGATACCAGATAATGTGGAAAGTCCTTAGAGAGACCCACCAGGATGGCGCAGAAATGGAACCAGTCTTTGTGTCCTATCAGATATGTTTGATTTCTGCTCAGTGTCCCCCAAACGCCCCTTAGCCCAAGTTGGAAGCGCTGTTCTATGTTTGGCCCCTAGGGGGAGCTGACTCACACAACTGGGGATGAAGCCACTTAAGTGGAAAAGCCCTCATCCTTTGTAAGCGGTGCTCACTGTGAACCCGCGCTGTTCTGAACTCTTTATTTGCAGAGGTCCATTTCATCATCACAATCCTACGAATTAGGGGCTTTGATTATCCTTGTGCTATGGATAAAGAAACCACAGCACACAGAGGTTTGGTGACTTGCCTGAAGTCACACATCTGGAAGGGCCAGCAGTGGGATACCCACAAGTATGTCCAGAGAATGCCCTGTAAGAGTGTCACCTACACTCCTTTGCGTAAGCTGGTCCCTCACCCAGAATACAGCTGCCCCTCATCTCCATTCTGCAGTCAATTTATTGCCATCCCTGCCCTAATGTCACCTCCCTGCACCCAAGCAGTTCAGATTGAGACGGGGGAAAGGCCAGGCAGTCCGTGTAGGTAAGAATGATGAGTCCCAGTGGCTCAGGAGGCCCAGGCAGGAAGATTCCAAGTTCAAATCCAGCCTTGGCAACTTAGCAAGACCCTAAGCAACTTAGTGAGACTCTGTGTCTAAATAAAATATAAAAAGGGGCTGGGGATGTGGTTCCATGGTTAAGCACCCATGGGTTCGATCTYTAGTCTCAAACAAAAAACGAAAGAAAGAAAGAAAGAAATGAGAAAATTGGCCAATGATGGTTTGAATCAGTCAACAGGGGTAAAAATAATGAGGGTCAAGAAGACGGTAAACAAAGGGTTGCTGACTGGAATTTTTCAAGAAAAAAAAAAACAACTTCTGAGTTTGTGCTCCTAGACACGTGTACGGGGAAGAAAGGAAAAACAATGATTAATGAAAGAGAGATGTTCCAAAGGCTATCAAAAAGGCAAGTCACTTTTCAGCTTTTCAGCTCCCCAAATCCCCTTCTCTCTGGAGGAGTCTGTTCTCCATCACTTTCTTAAATAAATCTGGCTACACTTGCTTACCTCAGCTGTTCACGGTTTCATTCTTCGATTCCGTGGAACACGAACTCAGTACCAATCACCAATAAGATGGATATCAAGATTCCCTGACCTTGGGTTCTTGTGTGCCCCTCTGCACCCCTGTCTCCCCACCAAACATGAGCTCCTCACAACTGGGGCCCAGCTAGTCTTTCCCAGGTCCCCAGAGCCCAGCAGGGTCTGGATACACTTCACCTTGATGTACTCACAAAGCAGAGTGCCTAGGAACTGAGTCTACTGAGAGGAAGTTTCCCGGGCCCCCACCAACCCTTGCTGCCTGAAACGCACTCTCAAGTGGACGCAGTCTCATTCTGGTCTGTTCTATTCTGTTTTAAAATACTCAATTCTACTTTTCACTATCTTTTTCTGTTCCACCTCACTAGTCATGATTCACTAAATTGATTTCCTAACCCACATGGGCCACAAACCCCGTTTAGATTCACCTGAGATCCCATCTGCTTGCCACTTCCCCAGGCACCATGTCTGTCCCTGGCTGGTGACCTCCTTAAGGATGGACACCTTCTCCAAGGAGCCTCTCAGAGCCCCCGGCTCAGCCCCTTCTCCTCTGGCTCTGCAGGCCTCTCAAGATGGTTCTGCCACTTCTATCAGAACCGGTTGCTCACATATCTGTCTCCCCATCCCTGGGGATCCGTCGCCATGTCTGTCCTGTTCACTGCTGTGACCCAGCACCTCTGGGACTTAGTGAATGCTGGAAGGATCATTAGGCAATAAACACATGGAGGTTATGATTCTAACCACYAGACCAAGACTGGCGCTCACTCCTGGGCTCAGATGCTGCCACCCTTTCATGACCTTCCCATCACCGGCCAAGAACCTAGGAGGCCTTGAGCTCCCACCCCAAGACTGACACTTGGACCAGAGCGCAGGATCCAGGTGTGCTACATGCCAGCTGTGTGACCTGGGCAAGTTCCTTCTCTGAGCTGCCAGAGACTGCAACAGGACGAGCTCACCAGGCTGTTGTCCGTGAGTTAAACACAGAGCAACCATGTCTGATGAGGAGGAAGCCCKCCTGGTGGCCATAGGAAGTGCAGGCTGCCCACAGAGGAGAGTACCTGCGTGCTTACCTTTCAGGCCGYCCATACTGCAGAGTTGCTGTAAGACCTCCGTGGCACCCTGTTCCCCAGGTCCCAGAGAGGTCACCAGCCCCACAGGCAGCCCCTGTGTCCTGAAACTCATGGCCAGCTGCTGGGCTGTGGCCACCCAGATGTCCTGGTGGGAGGACACAATGGCCAAGTGAGCCCAACCAAAGTATCTCATGACAGTCAGCAGCACCTGGGCAGCAGAAGGCAAGGTGGGCACTGATTCACGGCCTCCCTCTGGAGCCCCACATGCCCAGGAGAAGAGGGTCTTGCCCCAGCTTTGTGCCAGCAGGGCGGCTGCTGGGCAGTAGCCAGGATTKACAGGGCCCACAAAAGCAGCCACAGTGTCCTTGTGGGTCAGGAATGTGGCCAGGGCCTGAGGAGTGTGGCAGCCTGTTGGCAGAACCACGGAAGCCAGATGTGAGCCCGGCAACAATGAGGGGTCCCCGTTGACTCTGTCCACAGCCAGCTGGGCAGCCACACCAGGGAGGGCCTGGGCAAAGATGGGGTCACAGTCCCAGGGGCCCAGCACCCCCACAGTGAAGGTACCCGTCCCCCAGGCCAGATGAGCAAGGGAGCCAGCCCACAGGAGGGCACCCCAAAACACCACAGAGGGAAGTGGCAAAGAAGAGGTTGTTCCTGGATGACTAAGAGTAGGCCCCTGGGGACCCTGGCAGGGCAGGACAATCTTCCCGTGTGGCGGCATCCGGTCCCAAACTTCAGGGTACAAGCTCCCTGTGGCCCTGGGGAAAGGGGGATATGGAAAAGGCTTGCTTTCTAGTATTTTCTAGCAGCATTTCCKGGCAAGATTGAGAGGCAGATACCTCCTCCCAGAACCTCAGTCTCCTCGTTGGTAAATCAAGGGACTTAGACCCATGAACTCCAAGGACTCCCCACAAGAGTTGGGGGCCTCACATCCTCCCAGGACAGGCTCATAGTCTCATAATGCCCAYATGAAGCTTTGAGCTGCAGTTCAAATGCTCTGTGTATAGGCCATGGAAACAATTAGCCAGACCCGACCCCCTATTTCCAATGTTGGAAACMTGGGCCAACCTTGAAGCTTTCTGAGCCTTATTTTCCTCCTCTGTGAAATACGGGCAATAAAACCTACTTGATAAAGCATGATTGCAATGATTAATTGACATCCTGTGGAACCCTTAAGCATAGTCTCTGGTACTTAGGTATTCAATAAATCCTCCCTCTTTCAACATACAATTGTTTCTCCCAGTACTGATCTTCAAAACAGAACAGGTTCTCCTGGTGCCCCTCAAGTGTCCCTGCCTCTTTCCCTCCAAGCCCAGCACCATCCCACAGCTCTTTACCCTAGTGGACTCCACATACCCTAGCAACTTATGCAAGTCCAGATGCAGGGACCTCACCCTTCAGTGTGTGCATGGGAATTGTGGCTGGTCAGTTAACCCTACACGTGCTCCTTCCATCTCTGACCTCCCCCATAGACCTGGACGCAGAGGCCTTTCCCTCCCCACTGTGCAGACAGAAGACTAAGGAAATCTGACGCGCTAGTAGAAAGATAGGATTTGAGCCAAGGCAGTTCAGCTCATCAAACACCCCACACATGATGTCCTCTACCAGGACACTTGAATGATGACATTTCCCACTTCATCCTACTGTTTCTGGGCCTTGATGTGCAACTGAAGTCCCTGCTTCTACCTGCTTCCCGGCTATTGCACACTCTCCACCCATGGACGCTGCCTTCTTTCTTCCCACCATGTATGCAGCCAGTGTGTGAGCTGCATAGGACAGATCCACTCTCACCTTAGGGAACTACCAGATTGGGAGGGAGGCAGGTCCCAGGCAAGAGAAGAGCTGACCACAATTTTGGACTCTAGGCAGAAGGACCAGGGAGGAGGCCCTGTGGGTGAGGAGAGGGGCATGGGGGGCTTCCTCAAGGAGGCAGAGCTTGAACCAACTCAACACTTGAAAGTGTGGATCAGGAGAGTGCAAGGAGCCCTCTGAATGCCAGCAGCAATGGCCTGTGTAGAGTAGCTCCTTAGAAATCAAGTTCAGTGCAGAGGAATAGAAAGTCCTCAGATCACAAAGAAGAATCAACCCTGGTTTTTTTGCTTACTARCCCCTAACCTTGAGGGATCTGAGGTCCTTGTAGGTCCAGTTCTTTCACCTACAAAAAGGAGATGAGAATAGCTACAGAATTGTGAAAACTAAAACGTGTACAGTATCTACAGTGGGACTTGAATAAGGAGACATGAACTAAATGGAATGGTCACCATCATCATCACCATCACCATCTTTAGATCCTCAGGGGAGTCAGGAGTCAGGTGTACTGGGGTGCAAATAGRGCTGGACAGGGAGGTGGGAGGCCTCAGTTCCCTGCTAGACCTCAGCCTCCCCATCTATAAAAGGAGCCAGTTTGCAGAGCTGGTCAACCCTGCACCCTGCTGGCCTATGATGCTCTGGTTCTCTGAGCTCTAGGTTCTGTGAGTTGGGGTGGGGGACTCTTCCATTATCCTCTGTGCCTCTGGTTCTTCCTTGCTCTTCTACTATGATGCTCAAAKTATCCTAGCAGCAGGGACAGGGACAGGTCCATCTACCCTGGAGATGAATCCCCCAGGGCTGTTGGATGAGCTCTGGACTCACAGAGAGCCAATCATTTCCAGATGGGAGTATGAGCCTATGCTCCTGCCAATAATGACAGTGGCCTCTCCTCTCAATCTCTACTTTGCCAAGTACCTGTGATCCACTGCTTTCCTTGGCCCAGAGGAGACATTTTCAAAGGTGGAAATTGCAACTCTGGGCAGGACAACAACTTGTCCAAAGTCTCACCAAAATTAGGACTGAGTCAGGACCAGAGCTTGGCTTCCAATCTCCCAGTCAAAGACAAAAATCCCCTCTTTTCCTTGATATCTAGAACACCAGAGCTCAGAGACTCAAGCATCCAAACCAATTTYTCTGTGTCCAGATGGGGGAAATGAGACTCAGAAATGAGGGTGGGCTTCTCTTGGTCCCACAAAAGAGCTTCCCTGGCCCAAGGTCCTGCTGGCCACACGTTTTCCCAAGAATTCTGCAGCTGACGGCCTACAAGGGCTCACAGAGGGCTCAAGTCCTTACAAGGCCAGCTTCAGGATAAAGCAGGAGCCAGCTCTTACTCCAGCTTTGTCCCTCATTTGTGACACAGACTCTGTACTCCTTTTTATACCCTAGTTTCCCCAAGTGTACAAGGACAGCTTGGTTTAGAGATCTATGTCTCAAAGATCCTTCAGCTCTGATGCTCTAAGTGTCAATAAAAATCAAGGTCTCTAAGATGACCAGGTGGCATGTTTCCTTTCCAAGCCTTCCCCTGAGTGTGGGAGCATCGGGGGCCTCCACCCCCAGCCACAACAGGTCAATGTGCCACCTTCCTAGGGGTGACCACTTATATTTTTAGAGTCAGGGAGACGGGCCTGAGGGTTGGCCACTGGTTTCTTGGCTCACAGGTCCAAGCTCCTGGAGCTGGTTCCCTCCAGAGCACCATAGTCCAGGGGTGAAGGAGRCTTTGGCTGCATTAACAGACACATGGCCAAAACAAGGAAGGTGAGGGGCGCCCATGGAAGGGGARTAGGGATTCCTGCAGACTCACCACCAAGATGAGGCTGTCCCAGGTCAAGCTTTCCAAGTAGCCTCTGGCCCGTGGGCTCCTGTCCCCAGCACAGTTGATGTTCAACACTCCCACTGCCTGTCAGCTTCCTGAGACTCTTGCCTGGGGATGGCCTCATAGATGGTTGTCCCCCTCAGGAATCTGAAGAAGCCACTTGGAAAATTAGATCTGTTCAGACCCCAGGACTCTAGGGAGCCACATACAGAAAGGAAGGAGAGAAAGAAGGAGACGTGGCAGTGAGAGAAGACCAGTCTTCAGCACTGTGGACAGCTCCAGGCCAGGGCTCCCAGGAGGCAGAAAGGAGGGACAACAACTATAGAGGCCAGCTGGCATTCACCCAGTGCCCATCCCTATTCATTCCACCTACCGAGAGAGCTGTTATTACTATCTCACTACACAGATTTTTTTTTGAAAAGTATGGCCCAGAGAGGTTAGGTAGTTTGACCAGGACCCAGAGCTATTAAGTGGGGAGGCCTGACTGTGTCGCACACATCTTGGAGAACTAGAGAGGAGGTTTTTCTACCTTCCTTTAGGACAAATACCTATGTGGAGGTAGAAACCTCAGTCCAGAGGACTTACAGACCTCCCTCCTCCACCTCTCTCCTACCCAGGGGAAATTAACTTGTACCAAGCTCGCTGACTACTGTGAGCTAGCATCATTCAYGCCCCGCCTCACTTAACCTGCACAGCAACCTCATCAAGCGGGTGTTGTGTTGTTTTCTTTGTGTYGCTTTATTCATTCAACTAATATCTATTGAGCACCCAGTTCCTGGTTCTGCCCAGGGAGAGGCAGAGCCTCCACTTTCCTCCCCTCAGTCCTGTGCCTAATCCCTGTGCTTCAGATACTCGAGCTACAGCAACAAAGGAAGAGAGCATTTTCTCCTCACAGAGCCGACTTTACAGTCGGGGTGGGGAGGGTGTGAGGACCAACAYACAGGCAGCATGACAGGCAGCAGATGAGTTCTCCATGTTATAAGCTGGGGTGTATTTAAAAAGGTAGAGAAGGGTGATGTTATAGTTTGGATGTGAGGTGTCCCTCAAAAGCTCACAAGTGAGACAATACAAGAAGGTTCAGAGGAGAAATGATACCCAATCAGTGAATTAATCCCCTGATGAGATAAACTGAGTGGTAACTAAAGGCAGGTAGGGTATGGCTGGAGGAGGTGGGCATTGGGGGCGTGGATTTGGGTATATATTTTTTATCTGGTGAGTTCTCAGTTCTCTCTCTCTCTCTCTCTCTCTCTCTCTCTCTATATATATATATATATATATATATATATATATATATATATATATATCTTTCTCTCTTTGCTTTTTGATGCTCATGCTAGCTGCTTCCCTCCACCACACTCTTCTGACACAATATTCTGCCTCACCTCAAGTTCCGGGGAATGGAGCTATCTGCCTATGGATTGAGACCTCTGAAATCATGAGCCCCCAAATAAACTTTTCCTCCTCTACAATTGTGTGGTCGGGTCTTTTAGTCACAGCAGTGAAAAACCTGACTAAAACAGGTAATAATGCTATGTGTATTATAATTCAGTGTAAGTGGTTTTCATATTGCTGCTCAGTCTTTGTATTCTACTTTCAACAGTCTTGAAACACATAGTGTTGGAGATGTAACTCAGTGGTAGAACATTGGCCCAGTGGGCCTGAAGCCCTGGGTTCCAGCCCCACTACTTGATGTGCGCGCACACACACACACACACACACACACACACACACACACATACACGCACATATTGAGTGGATAGGTCATAAAAAAATAAATACTTTCTGGCTGTATATTTTTATTTAGACCTAATCTTCTTCTGGAAGGACTCCAGTGCCCCTGCTGTTGTACCATTTATGTGCCTGTTTACTCTCAGACCACTTCCCTGGACTGACTRGGCTCCCAAGAGGCAGGAGGGACTCTGTACCACAGGGGCTGATCCTGAAACTTTGCTTCCCAGCACCCCTTGCCATAGGCCTCTGGCTGGATCCTTTCTGCTGTAGACAGTATCCCAGCAATGGCCCTGTCTCCTCTCTGGCCTGGGTCCCTTTGACATCTCCTTATGTGGCCCCAGTTTCTGGGCCACATTCTTCTTTCTTTT